AGACACAGAGAGAGACACACACAGACACACACACACACAGAGAGACGCACACATAGACACACACACACACAGAGACACAGAGAGAGACACACACATAGACACACACACAGAGACACACACACACACAGAGAGACACAGAGAGAGACACACACACACCTACACAAACACACACACACACAGAGACACAGAGAGAGACACACACATAGACACACACACACACATAGACACACACACACAGAGACACACACACACACACACACACACAGAGAGACGCACACATAGACACACACACACACAGAGACACAGAGAGAGACACACACATAGACACACACACACACAGACAGACACACACACAGAGACACACACACACATAGACACAAACACACACACACACACATAGACACACACAGACACACACACACACAGAGACACACACACACACATAGACACACACACACAGAGAGAGACGCACACATAGACACACACACACACAGAGACACACACAGACACACACACACACAGAGACACACACACACACATAGACACACACACACAGAGAGAGACACACACACACACAGAGAGACACACACACACACACACACACACACAGACACACATAGACACAAACACACACACACACACACATAGACACACACACACACAGAGAGACACACACATAGGCACACACACACACACAGACACAAACACACACACACACACAGACACACGCATAGACACACACAGACACAAACACACACACACACACACACACAGAGACACAGAGAGACAAACACACCTACACAAACACACACAGAGAGAGACACACACAGACACAAACACACACACACAGACACAAACACACACACAGAGACACAGAGAGAGACAAACACACCTACACAAACACACACACACACACAGAGAGAGACACACACATAGACACACACACACAGACACAAACACACACACACATAGACACACACACAGAGACACAGAGAGAGACACACACACCTACACAAACACACACACACACATAGACACAAACACACACACACACACGCATAGACACAAACACACACGTCCTTAAAAACAGAAGGGGAGGGGGAGTACAAACACTATACTAAGATTGGGCTCTCTCTGGTCTCTCTCTCTCTCTGGTCTCTCTCTCTCTCTGGTCTCTCTCTCTCTCTGGTCTCTCTCTCTCTCTGGTCTCTCTCTCTCTCTGGTCTCTCTCTCTCTCTGGTCTCTCTCTCTCTGGTCTCTCTCTCTCTCTGGTCTCTCTCTCTCTGGTCTCTCTCTGGTCTCTCTCTCTGGTCTCTCTCTGGTCTCTCTCTCTCTGGTCTCTCTCTTCTCTCTCTCTGGTCTCTCTCTTCTCTCTCTCTGGCTGGTCTCTCTCTGGTCTCTCTCTGGTCTCTCTCTCTCTGGTCTCTCTCTCTCTGGTCTCTCTCTCTCTGGTCTCTCTGGTCTCTCTCTCTCTGGTCTCTCTCTCTCTGGTCTCTCTCTCTCTGGTCTCTCTCTGGTCTCTCTCTCTCTGGTCTCTCTCTGGTCTCTCTCTCTCTGGTCTCTCTCTCTCTGGTCTCTCTCTGGTCTCTCTCTCTCTGGTCTCTCTCTGGTCTCTCTCTCTCTGGTCTCTCTCTCTGGTCTCTCTCTCTGGTCTCTCTCTCTCTCTGGTCTCTCTCTCTCTGGTCTCTCTCTGGTCTCTCTCTCTCTCTGGTCTCTCTCTCTGGTCTCTCTCTGGTCTCTCTCTGGTCTCTCTCTCTCTCTGGTCTCTCTCTCTCTGGTCTCTCTCTCTCTGGTCTCTCTGGTCTCTCTCTCTCTGGTCTCTCTCTCTCTGGTCTCTCTCTCTCTGGTCTCTCTCTGGTCTCTCTCTCTCTGGTCTCTCTCTGGTCTCTCTCTGGTCTCTCTCTCTCTGGTCTCTCTCTGGTCTCTCTCTCTCTGGTCTCTCTCTGGTCTCTCTCTCTCTGGTCTCTCTCTCTCTGGTCTCTCTCTGGTCTCTCTCTCTGGTCTCTCTCTGGTCTCTCTCTCTCTCTGGTCTCTCTCTCTCTGGTCTCTCTCTGGTCTCTCTCTCTCTCTGGTCTCTCTCTCTGGTCTCTCTCTGGTCTCTCTCTGGTCTCTCTCTCTCTCTGGTCTCTCTCTCTCTGGTCTCTCTCTGGTCTCTCTCTGGTCTCTCTCTCTCTCTCTGGTCTCTCTCTCTCTCTCTGGTCTCTCTTTTAAAGTCGTCCTCTTTCTTCAGAGCGATGGAACTAAACTAAAAACACTTTTGAATCTTTTCTCCGTGAAACCCTGCACTTAGGCGCCAACAGCTTCAATTGCAGGTGAGATTTGTACTTGTACCAAAGAGTTCTTTAAGCCCAAAATGATAAATGCTAGAGAGGTACCATTGAGCTAGCGTTAGCATTGATAAGATAGAGTTTAGAGAGTGTGACATCACAGACAGAATCTCTCAAATTGAAGACAGAAGTGTGAAACATGTTAAAGTTAAATACAGTCTGTGCAGGATATTATAACAGTGGCAGCAGCAGCAGGTTTTCAGTTCTAGTGCATTAGTGACTTAAAGTGACTTATTGTACAGTCTGACAGTGGTGGGGGTAAAGGCTCTGCGGTAGCGCTGGTTATACATAATGTGACTTTAAGATTTCCATCCATCCATCCATTTTCTTCCGCTTTATCCGTTGCCGGGTCGCGGGGGCAGCAGTCTAAGCAGAGACGCCCAGACTTCCCTATCCACACACACTTCCTCCAGCTCGTCCGGGGGGACCCCAAGGCGTTCCCAGGCCAGCTGAGAGACATAGTCCCTCCAGCAGGTCCCAGATCTTCCGCGGGGCCTCCTCCCGGTGGGACGTGCCCGGAACACCTCCCCAGGGAGGCGTCCCCAGGGAGGTTTTTGACTGGTTTTCTCATTGTTCAAGGACCTTTTATCGTCGGCCATTTCCCACAAACCTAACGACAACATCAGAGGTCGACTTTTCACAGAAGCAGAAACACACGAGACCATTTTACTTCATCACAGTTTGACACGACGTCTTTTAATGCAACTCCATGACTTCCTGCACAGACTGTACTTACTAGCACTTTTTATAATATAATAGCACTTTATATAATAGCACTGGAAAGAGAACCGACCACAGGAGAGAAAACACAGGTTATAAAAGTGGACGTGCTTGTTTTAAATTACAGTAATTATAGGATTACAAAAGGAAAATAAAATCCTGAAGTCACTGTGAAGCCGCGTTTCCACCGACTGCATGAGTTCAGTAAATCTGATGTTCTGCTGCGACGGGGAAAACACAGGTGGTTTAGACCTGGGTTAGTCCTGGTTTAGACCTGGTTTAGACCTGGTTTAGTCCTGGTTTAGACCTGGATAAGACCTGGTTTAGTCCTGGTTTAGTCCAAGTTTAGACCTGGTTTAGTCCTGGTTTAGACCTGGTTTAGACCTGGTTTAGACCTGGTTTAATCCAGGTTTAGTCCCGGTTTAGTCCTAGTTTAATTCTAATATTGTCCTAACGTTTCTAATTACTGTACTGTAATATTCATAAATGCTAATCAAAATAACTTGGATTAAATAAATATTTTACTTTTATGAACAAAAAGCTGCAGAAGTTGAAAACATAGACTACATGTGATGCAATCATTGATAAAAATGCTAATTAAACCGTTAATAGGTGTTAGCATTTATGGATATTACAATGTACATTATGGTAAATAAATCTACGGCAAAGTGAGACAGGCATAATGTAAAAACGAATATTAGCCTTGTTAGTATGTTTTATGATATCAAGTAGAGTTAGCTAACTTGCCCAACACTAATTAGCTTGAATCTCACAAATAAGGCTAAAAGGTTAAAAGAGTTGCACACTATTATGTACAAACTGATGTAAATATGTTTATACCTTGTTCAGATGACAGTGAAACCTCCTACAGATTCAGCCCAGACTGCTGCTGCTGCTGTGAGAGGTCCTTCTCCTACGTCATCGCCGCCATTTTGGCGCCCCCTAGCGTTTCTATGCGGAAGTGAAAAGGTGCCACTTCAAAGCCGTTTTTTTTAACATACTGCATCTGAACATGTCAAAATGAACACCAGAGATATTATAAACACATATTGTAGTTATATATTCTGGATAGCAGCATATTACATTCTAGTACTACTTTAAAGAAGTGAGCGTGTGTGGTTTTTCATGAGAGAGACCAGAGAGAGGGAGAGACCAGAGAGAGGGAGAGACCAGAGAGAGGGAGACCACAGAGGGAGAGAGACCAGAAGGAGAGAGTCTGGCTGAGGCTCGGGGCCGTACTAACAGATGCATCTGTCACAGGTTCGTGAACATTGGAGGAAACAGATCTAATTCAAACAGACGTTTATTTAAACCTGGATCCATAAATAAACCATGTTTGAAACTATTTTTATTAAAGATAAAACTGGACGATGGTCTCAGTCTGTGACAATACCAGAGAAAGTAAATGTTTGAACTAAGACCAGAGACGACAACAGGAATAAACAGCTCATAAACAGGAAGTATTTTATTCAATGTGTTTAGATGTTTTAGATGTTTTGACACTTTGATATAAAAATATACAATTTCATGATTAAATATAGAATTTGTTAAATGGTGACACAACAATGTATATCTACTGCATATATTATATGAATACATCTATCTATATGTAGAAATATATATCTGGAACAAAAGCCTGTTACCGTGGAAACCTGGAACATTATATAAATATACAGTGTTGCATAGTCCCAGGTTTCCATGGTTACAAGCTTTTTTTGTTCCGGAACCCATTACGACATTGTGGTTGCCATGGTTTCCTTTGTAAGACATCGTCAGTGATGACATCACAAAGTTCCAAAGCTTTGAGATAATTGTCTCTGAGTGTGGAGACGCCGGCTCAGACTTGAAGCAAGTTTAGGGAGAACTCTTGGTCTTGGACTTTAGAGCAACTGAGATACAAACGCCTTTAGACAGATAATATTAGATTAGATTGGTCTTTATTTAGTCTTTAAAATGGAGAATATTGGCCTCTTTGAGACGGGGGAGGGTCCTGAACAGGGGGATAATGCCCCCAGTGACACAGTCTCATTGGACCAACTGGTCTCAAACCTGTTCAGTCAGCTGCAGGACTTTGAGGAGGACCTGTTCCACTGGGGACACCCACCAGAGCTTCGGCAACCCCCTCAACATGAGGCTGCCCACAACAGCGGTGACATTCAGCTGCAAACTGTGGATCAAAAGGATGTTTCTGCTCAGATTCAAGCTGAAGACCTGCATGCAGAGGGCGAGGCTGCGTGCAGTAGTCTGGATCAGCCAATCAGTGAGCTGGAAGTCCTCAGAGAGAGAGATGAGGCGTTTCAGCATCAACTGAAGGAGTTTGAAAACGTGAAGGAAGAGAACTCTTGTTTGGTCCAAATTAACCAACGCCTGGAACTGGAGCTGCAGCAAGTCACAGAGAAGTCTCAGCAGAGTCAGAGTGAGCAGACGGAGGCATACAGACGTCTGCGAGATCTGCAGCTTTCACAAGAGAAAGACTTACAGCAGAAGTGTGACGAGCTCCAGAGACTTCAGCAGAGGCTAGAAGAACAAGAGACGCTTCAGCAGAGGTTGGAGCAAGAGAAACTTCAGCAGAGGTTGGAGCAAGAGAAACTTCAGCAGAGGTTGGAGCAAGAGAAACTTCAGCAGAGGTTGGAGGAGCAAGAAAGACTTCAGCAGAGGTTGGAGCAAGAGAAACTTCAGCAGAGGTTGGAGGAGCAAGAAAGACTTTGCCAAAGCCTTGAGCGACAGATCAGTGAGAGGGAAAGCGAAAGAACCAACATAGATTTGCTGGAGCAGAAACTGGAAGAGTTTGATGGCCTGAAGCAGGACTACTGTGGCCTGGTCACATATTGCCAAAGTCTACAAACAGATCTAGATCAGACCAAGGACAAGCTGCTGCAGAGTGAGTTTGTACGTCAGGACCTGCTTCTCTCACACCAGAAAGCCCTGAAGGAGCATCGTGAGCAGCTGCAGCGAGTGAAGCAGCGTATGGAAGAACAAAAGGAAGCTCACTCATGTTTAGAACAGCAGGATAGTGAGAGGGAAATCCAAAACAGGAAGATAGAGGCGCTGACACGGGAGCTAGAAGACTTTGAAGAGGTGAAGGGGGAGTACTCTCGGTTGGTCAGTTATTGTAAAAGTTTAGAAAAAGATCTGGAAGAGGCCAAAAGATGCATCAACCAACTCTCCCAAGAGCAACTGTTGGAGCAAAAGACAATCAACAAAAGTTCAGAGAGAGAGATGATAGAGAGGCTCAAACGTGAACTAGAGGACTTTGAAGACGTGAAGGGGGAGTACTCTCGGTTGGTCAGTTTGTGTAAACGTTTAGAGAAAGATCTAGAAGACGCTAACAGATGCATCAACCAACTCCGCCAAGAGCTAGTGTTGGAGAAGGAGAGTTCGCAGCAGGTGGCAGTCCACAAAAGTTCAGAGAGAGAGATGAGGGAGAGGATAGAGAGGCTCAAAAGTGAACTAGAGGACTTTGAAGAGGTGAAGGGGGAGTACTCTCAGTTGGTTAGTCATTGTAAACGTTTAGAGAAGGATTTGGAAGAAGCCAAAAGATGCATCAACTCAAACCAACTCCCCACAGACCTACTGTTGGAGAAGGAGAGTTTAAAGCAGGTGGCGGTCGACAAAAGTTCAGAGAAAGAGAGGATAGAGAGGCTCAAACGTGAACTAGAGGACTTTGAAGAGGTGAAGGGGGAGTACTCTCGGTTGGTCAGTTTGTGCAAACGTTTAGAGAAAGATCTGGAAGAGGCCAAGAAGAACTCTCTGGTGGTAGTAGCGGAGCCAGTCAGTGAAGCAGAAACTTGTGTAGACACCAGAGAGAGTGTTTCAGAAGAGAAGGTGCAGTCACAACCTTCTGACGAACACCAACACAGTTGTGTCAGAAAAACCTTAAACGTTTTTGGGCAGTCAAGTAGAGAGCGACCCACACCTAAAAACTCCCAACATGAATGTGAGGAGCTCAGACGGCTCAACGGAAGCGTAAAGAATCTGACACAATTCTTTGGTCCAGAAAATAAAACCGAGGAGGAGAAACAGGCGCAGGGCTCTGACCTGAACAGGACTTCAGCAAAACGAGGAGAGAAAGTCGCAGCTTTAATGAAGATGTTTGAGTCTTAAGAAACACGTCAGAGTTTCAGGTCTCAGACCGAGTTCCAGTGCAAGGGAACAGGTCTGAGACCTGGTTCAGGTGCAGAGGGGCAGGGCAGTGATGGGAGACCTGGAGGACTGGTCTAGTGTCAGTGTTCAGAAGGTGCAGGCAGCAGACTAAACTGAGTTTATTCAGGTATTTGTGGTTTAGGAGGAGAGTCAACAGCTTCTGTTCTGCTACAGATGTGTTTGTTTTGGGATGTCCATACGGTGGAAGATCCAGACAGATCTCAGCCTGAAATCCACCTCACAAACTCCAGAGCAGACTACAACAGTTTAGTGGGCTGTAGTTGTATGTTTTTAGCAGGAGAGTCCAACAGCAGCGACTCTCAGTCTCTAAATCTACAACTTAAACACAGCTTGAACAACGACACTCGTCCTCTTCATGGCCTCCCTCCTGTCCCTGACACTCTGAGACCTGAACACAACAACAAGACTCACGCGACTACACTTGGAAGAAGGAGAACATTACAGCATTCAAAAAATAATAAAAAAATACATTAAAAAAGTGTTTCATTTATAAAAGCACCTTTCACAGACCAGATTCACACACACACAGAGACACACACACACACATAGACACAGACACACACACACACATAGACACAGACACACACACACACAGAGACACACACACACACATACATGGGCGGCACGGTGGCTGAGTGGATAGCACTCTCGCCTCTCAGCAAGGAGGTCCTGGGTTCGAATCCCGGCCGGACCAGGGCCTTTCTGAGTGGAGTTTGCATGTTCTCCCCGTGTCTGCGTAGGTTTCCTCCGGGTACTCCGGTTTCCCCTACCACTAAAAATATGTACAATAGGTATGGCATGTGCCTCCTGTACTGGCGACCCCACTCCCAACAATTGTAAACCGCTTTGAGACTCCGATGTGCAGTGAAAAGGCGGTATATAAATAAAAGCTTACTTACTAGCTTACTTACTTACATACACGTTTTTGTTACCTGGTGGGTCCCTTTGACAGGGCCGTTCAGAATGGGACCCATAGACATAATCTTTTTTTACTGGGACTACTTTAAGTAATACAAAACAGTCAATAGAAACCAAACAACTATTTTAAAGGAATTTTATTGTTGATTTTTTTTTTCGAATTGCAGTGATTCTATTTTTGACATAGAATTTAATGCCACTCCATGTCCGATGTCTAAGGTCATCTGGTGAGGCATTAATGCAGGCCAGGCAGTGAGACTTCCCAGGGACCTTTCCAGTCTGTATGAAAGGTGTCATGGTCTTCTCCACAGCCTTCATCTCAGATGCAGACCATGGCTTTCTTACACGTTCTAGGGAGAGAAATAAAAATATATTAGCAATATACACTCCCAGGGTGAGGACCAAGCAGCCTGGCTGTAATCCCCCACCTGGTACACTTACCAGAAGGGGCACTGCCACTACCATGGGGTGCATCTGGATGAATGGTTGAAGGTTCTCCGCTTGAAGTTTCTTTTAGCCCGTCCGTTTGTGAGAGGATCTCTACTGCTCTCCCTGTCGCACAGAAAATAAAAATACAAGTGGCCTTTAGGGGAAAAAAATCATACATATTTTAATAATATCAAGAATTACCTTCAGGCTCAATTTGTATCTGGTCGAGGCTCTTTCCTTTGAATTCCGTCACTCTTCCCTGCTCCATGGCCATCAACACTTTGCTGATTTTGGCCAGCTCCAGTGTCCCCTCTGGTAGTCTGTAATATTGTCTGTGGATGCGAATGTCATGGACGAGGAAGTTGGCAAGTATGTCCATCTCATTCTCTTTCATATTGAGAACTGTAGACATAGTAGCTATGTGCTTTCTAAGTTTGGTTGAGGATAGCATCTCTGGATGCACCGCACCACATTCTTTGGCTACCTGCCGTAGGGAGTCTGATCCCCTGATGTGGGTGTCTGCGCCCGGGCGGGAAAAGAAGTATGGGTTATGGTCAGAGATGGAACAGGCCCTTCTGTTCTCCACCAGCACCTCCATCGAAGCAATCATTTCAGGAGTCAAAAGAACCACCACTTTCCCACTTCTTTTCCCTTTAATTTCAATGCGTTGAAAATTCTGACAGAACTTTTTCTCAAGTTCGGACAGTCCCAGAGCAATGTCAGAATGGATCCCAGTCTTACTTCTTAAGGTAAAGGCTGTCAGTGGCATCTTTGAAACCTCACCTTCCCTTCTTTGATTGAAAATAATGACCTCACAAAGAGTCAAAACTGCCAGTTTAGACCATGGCTTAGACGTTGGCTCACTTATTAGGGTTTGCACATATTCAGGTCGACATACCTCAATATGTGCATGCATGGCTCTAACGTCCTCAGTCAGAGGGAGCAGGTCCGGAGTGTTCCACTTGGCTTGCCGGAGGGTCTGTAGGGCAGCAGAAGAAACACAGACGTCCCACCTCTTCTCAAAAAGCAGCCGGCTTCGTTGGAGGTTTTTAATAAATAGTTCATCAACACAATGCTCCATTTTTGAGTCACATTCAAGAATATCTGCTTTCTGAGGCTATGGCCGAGTTTGAGGGCCAAGGATGGAGTCTTGTATTGATTTGTTTCCTCATCATATCCAGCCACAGACCTGACTGCATCAATCACATGGTTAAAGTTGGAAGGAATAAAGAAATCCTTCATTGTTTTCAGTTTCCCTGCGGTTTTTGCTTCGTTAATTAACCTACCGACTTCTCTCATTTTTTGCCTAATGTAATCATGCTTAGTCTTATCATGCCCGTGTTTTAAGTACAGGTGCTCTCCGAGTCTCAGAATCCCCTTTTCTGCTTTGACAACACCCGTGACCTCATCCTGATGCATTGCCCAAATTAAAGAGCACAGCTTTTTGCTGATGCCCTCCGGTACAGGCTGGGCTAGGGAGCAGAGGGACTGGACCCTACTTCTACCTGGTTTAGCCTGGTTTAGCCTGGGCATCTTTCTGTGAAAGCCGGCACCTGGCCACATGCCTCCACAGCGACTTTCGCGTTAAGCAATGCCCCACAGTCTATACAGTGCAAAAACTCACTGGATTTAACTGGGCAATTTGGCTGTTTAGCTGGGACTAAAGTTCCAATGCCGGCCTTTAAAACCTCAAAATTGTGCTCACGGTTTCCACTATTCCTGATCAAATCAAACTGAAGTTTACGTGCTTTAGATTTCACAGGTAGAGCCAATGCTCTGGCTACGTCACTTTCATTTCCATGTTTTCTAGTCAAATGACGGGACATTTTGTGGCAGGACATTGAACAGTAGAGGCAGAAGTGTCTCTTGCTGTAAACTCTGCCCCCATTTTTCTTCTTTTGCAGCTGCATGATAACAATCTTATTTGCCTTTGGTTCGTCACTTTCCGAGTCTTGAAGAAAAGTGTTTTTGATTTTTCTTTTTCCATACTTTTTTACAGGTTTCTTCTTGACAGTTAAATCGTCAGAATCTGAGTCGACTTCATCAATTAGGGACTCTTGACTAAGCTGCACAAACAACAAATAATTTGTAATAATTCTATATAACAATTTGAAGTCATGACTTGTAGTCAGCACTTACCAGTGGTTTGTAAGCGTGCGCTTCAGTGTGCTGCTCTGTGATTGGCTGCAGCCTAATGAACCACACACTTGCACCTTTTCTAGCCTGACACCTGATTTCCTCTGTTGTGCTGCTCCATGATTGGCTCCAGCCTCTGTTGTGCTGCTCCATGATTGGCTTGATTATTATAAAAGTGACTAATGTGAATGGATTGTGGTGATTTGAGCTGATTGTGTTGCTGTGTGTGTTGCTGTGTGTGTTGCTGATGAGTGGAATTCTTTATGGACCGTTGTCAGTTAGTGGGATACTGACTGATCGCTCCGTGGGTTTTTAAATGTGTTAGTTTGAGCACAGATGCAGGAAGGTCGTTCTTTTGTGTTCAATGTGAAGCAGAACCGAGACGCTGTGAGGGAAAGTGCTTCAGCGACAGAGCAGAGCTTTGTGGGTTCACTGCAAAAAACAGAACTTATCAAATCAAAGTCTTTGTGCATCACAAAAACAAACACAACAAATGCAATACTCATCGTTTAGTTCAGCAGGTGGACTGTTCAGCAGGAGGACTGTTCAGCAGGAGGACTGTTCAGCAGGTGGACTGTTCAGCAGGTGGACTGTTCAGCAGGAGGACTGTTCAGCAGGAGGACTGTTCAGCAGGAGGACTGTTCAGCAGGAGGACTGTTCAGCAGGAGGACTGTTCAACAGGAGGACTGTTCAGCAGGAGGACTGTTCAGTAGGAGGACTGTTCAGCAGGACTGTTCAGCAGGTGGACTGTTCAGCAGGAGGACTGTTCAGCAGGAGGACTGTTCAGCAGGAGGACTGTTCAGCAGGAGGACTGTTCAGCAGGTGGACTGTTCAGCAGTAGGACTGTTCAGCAGGTGGACTGTTCAGCAGGTGGACTGTTCAGCAGGAGGACTGTTCAACAGGAGGACTGTTCAGCAGGAGGACTGTTCAGCAGGAGGACTGTTCAGCAGGAGGACTGTTCAGCAGGTGGACTGTTCAGCAGGAGGACTGTTCAGCAGGAGGACTGTTCAGTAGGAGGACTGTTCAGCAGGTGGACTGTTCAGCAGGTGGACTGTTCAGCAGGAGGACTGTTCAGCAGGAGGACTGTTCAGCAGGAGGAGTGTTCAGCAGGAGGACTGTTCAGCAGGAGGACTGTTCAGCAGGAGGACTGTTCAGCAGGAGGACTGTTCAGTAGGAGGACTGTTCAGCAGGTGGACTGTTCAGCAGGTGGACTGTTCAGCAGGAGGACTGTTCAGCAGGAGGACTGTTCAGCAGGAGGACTGTTCAGCAGGAGGACTGTTCAGCAGGAGGACTGTCAGCAGGACTGTTCAGCAGGAGGACTGTTCAGCAGGAGGACTGTTCAGCAGGAGGACTGTTCAGCAGGAGTGTTCAGCAGGAGGACTGTTCAACAGGAGGACTGTTCGGCAGGTGGAGTGTTCAGCAGGTGGACTGTTCAGCAGGAGGACTGTTCAGCAGGT